AAACGCCAGCCCTGGGGACAGGTCGAGATCCCCTCGGGCCCGCGTCGGACGCCGCTGGCTCCAGGCTGGCGCTCCCCCCTCGAGACAAAAATCTGCTCTTCCAATCTGGCCAGGGACATCTTTTTGCTAAGAGGGCGGGATGGGCGGGAGGGGGGGGTCTGGCTCCGGACCTCTGCTGAATGCGACTGTTTGTAACGTTGCGTCCTACGAGGTAGACTTGTTCACTTGCTTGAAACAGGCGCCCAAAACCGCCTCCATGGGGGGGGAGGGGGTGCGAGGGCCCGCGCCGATAGGCAAAACAGCGAATAAGAGAACGATGACCAAGCCGACCTCGAACATGATGTTCCAGTCGAGCCCCTTTCACGCAGACTCGCGGCCCCCCCCCCCCCCACCCACCACCAGCCAAGACTCGCGGCTAGCGGCAACCGGGCCCGCGCAGCGTAGGTGCCGAAATTGAGCCACAAGAGGCCGTCGCAGTTCAGCACCCAGGAACAAAATAAAAAGGCCACCCAACATGCATGCGCAGTTTCCTGCCGCCCTGACAAAACAAATTGGGTGAGACCAGCGCGCAAGGAACTCGAGGGCCAGCCGTCAACCGTGTTGAGCCCGCGAACCCCAGGAAGGACGACGCCTGCAGCGACGGAGCCAGCGCGCGGCTGGTTTTGGCCGTGCGCGTAGAAAAGGGCGCCGACGTGGAACGGCCAGCCCGCGAGCCCAAACTCCACTGCCAGAACAAACGCCAACAACAACGAGCATGATAGCTAAGGGCGCATGACCAGCGCGAGAGGGTCAAAACCATCCTGCGTACCAGGTGCCGCGCGATAGGCTGCGACCAACGAGCCTCGAAGCAGCCGTCGATCAATAACCTGGGCACGCGCACTGCGAATATCAGACTGGCTCATTGCTTTTGTGCGCCGAGAGGCCATCAACGCGCGCGGGCCTCCTCGTACGTTCAACAACTACGAAGCAGCATGTATTCCAACGCTGAGAAAACTCTCGCAGGCAACGCACGGCGCCCTCGTGTGAGCGTCGATGGACCAGGACACGCCTCGTTCACAGGAACATGTAGCACCAGCGCGCTGAAACCGATGCCCGTTGTGCTTGGCCGTATCCTCCCAGTCCCACTGGAGAGATGCCGCGCCTTCAGCAGCCAGCCATATCTGTGCGCCATCCTCCGAGCCAAAGCGATCAACAGCTTCCATGGCCGCCGCCCCTTCCGAAGGCATCATCATGGATTGAGCGCCGCGCTGCTCGATGTAAACGTCCGCCCGAACCTTGTCGATGAGCACTCGTGCCGTCAAGACTGAGCACGCGCAAGGCCACCATGGGGCCTGCGTAGTGCGGCAACCGCGTCTCGCCAGCCAGCCTGGCAAGGGCGCGCAGGACAGCTTGTAGCTTGGGCCGCGGAGCCTCGAGAGCGGAGGCGACGATCTTTGCCCGGGGCTCCCGGCCGCCGACCTTGAGCGCGCGCCGCGTCGCCAACTCCGACGCCGCGTGCTGCTCGATCTTGGGATGTTTCCGGGACCCCAACTTGTGGACCTCCTCATGCGGCGCTCTGCACACTATGTGCTGCGTGACCCCTTCGCGAGCAGAGACGTCTGCCCTGGCGTTGCCCAGCGGGAACGCTTGCGGGGTCACCGTGTCGCCGGTCCGCAATCGACTTGTTTGCGGGTGCCCCGGATGCAAGAATGAGCGACGCTCGCCGGCAGTTTGTTTGATCTGACTCCGAATCGTGGCATGAGTTCCAGAGGCCGAGCCCAGCGCATCCGACCAATCGTTGCCCTCCTCGCACAAAACCCAATGATCCGTGCAGCCAAGCCCGAAATAACCGAGAGACTCGCGCGCCATGGAAATTACAGAACATTCAGCGCGTCCAACCGACCGTGGCGTGCCAGGTCGCGGGCCATAGGCCCCGCGCGCAAGCCCACCAACTGGGCTCATCATCGCTGGGGCCCAGCCTCGTCGCATCAACTCTGGAACCAATGAAGCAAAGCGTGGCGCGTGAAGCAAGATGATGTCCCCGAACGCCCCGCGAGGTGAAATATCCAGTCTCGCCCCGCGACGTTAACTGATGCTCCCGCCCTCCCTTATCCACGCCCGTGCCTCATCCACGCCCGTGCCTGGTCGCCCACGGGACAATCGAACCTCTGAAAGGTCGCACCCTGCCGCAGAGCAATGCTATGGCAACCCTGCTCTTTGACGTCCTTGCGGGACACCGTAAGCAACGACTTGCGCTGATCCTGGTCCGTGACGGGGGCCGTCGAACAACAAGAACTACATGGCCAAACATATTCGCCAATGAATAGAAGTTGCTGCACCCATGGGGCCCCGGGCGGGCTGCCCAGAATGATCATGAACTGACTGCGTAGTACCTGCTGTCCACGCGCGATGTCGCCTGGGAGGCGGAGCTCTGGCTTCCAATGTTCAACTGGCGTGCCGATTGGCGATGTTGCAAATGGTCATCTATCTCGGGCCATCTGCCGCGCTCCTTCGCGTTGCG